GCCCGGCTAATTTTTTGATTTATTGTAGCGATGAGGTCTCACCAAGTTGCCCAGGTGGGTTTCGAACCGGCGGGCTCAGGCAATCCACTCACCTCATCCTCCCAAAGGCGCAAGATTACAGACTGAGCCACCGAGCCCAGCTTCCTGTGTACTTTTAAAAATTTCATTCTTGCTATTTCAAGGACAAAGATTTAAACACGTCTCCTTAATTAGTATACTATTCTACCAGAAAGATGCTCTAGAGATTATTACTTAGTGTCTCTCTGCATATTATGCTCTGCTATAACCAAAATGCTACATTGGTTCTAGTGGTGGCTGTGGACATGCTGGAGAAGAAAGGGATGAGTGGAGCTTGCATTTACCGGGTTGGGGTTCCATAAAGGTAAGGCCTGGATGCTGCGGAAATGGCCACAATCACAGCAGGGACTCCGTAGCCGACTGGGAACATGAGCTTCTTCACGAGTCTGTTCATGCTTGAGTAGTTGACCACCATCAGGTTCCGAGCGGTGAGGAAAAGGTGCAGGCCCTCCAGCAGCATCCAGGTGAAGGAGGCCAGGTAGAGGTAGTGTAAGGCACCGGCGATGGTGGCACACAGCACCTGGGAAAGGAGGGTCATGAGATGACGTTTTGTATGTGAAAACGCCCCTAGGCTTTCTCTATCGCTTTGCCATTGTTATGCAGAGTGGCTACTTGCCATTTCCACCAAGCAACAAGGCTCTTTTGTCTGCTTGACCCTGGAATTTCCTTTGAGTTGCAAGGTCATTTTATTAAGGTATCAAATACAGCATTGCTGCATGGGCCGGCATCTCTGGTCCAAGGCAGGGAGTCCTCTGAGACACCATCCATACCTCGGGTTCAGTTCTGTTGATTGCCGTGAGGAAGAGGAGGTGGGCCAGGAAGAGGCAGAGCGAAAGCTGCAGGTGCAGTGAGGTGCTGGTGTTCTGGATGACTTTGCACAGGAGGAAGGTGAGGGCCGCCAGTAGGAGGCACAGCAGGGAGAGGCCCAGCCCCATGTAGGTGATGATGGTCAACACGGGATCCTCCTCCTGGGACCCAGCAAAAAGAGTTCACTCTCATGCTTTCCTGCTTAAGGGTAATGACTTCACCATTTTTATTTTTGGCTTAGCAAATTCAGGAATAAAGGAGCCCGGTAAATTTGAGACACTGGTGGGTAAGATACTCTTAAGTTAATACTTTTGGAATATGATGAAATTCTGAACTGAGGGATTCAGCCACTGGGAGGATTGATGGATAAAAGAGAGTCCTTACTCAACACAAAGCTATAGGCCCCTCAAGGGTCTGTTTTTTTCTTGACCTTTGTGTCTAACTAAGCTTATAGGTTGACGTGTGAGGCTTGGGTAGGTGCAAAACTCCACACTGAACACCATCCTCTGTCCACATTACATCATGCCATGTGACAGAATTTGTATCTCAATATCCAGCTGTCAACTTCCTATCCCAGACACTGCTCGCTTCAATTCAGCACCCCATTGGACACTAATCCTTATAAGTATAGCACCAGATCCTTGGTTAAAGGAAGAAAATTTCTTTGATGATGATGGTGGCTTGAGTCACATTTCTCCACCTCTTTCTGCAAATCATCTTAAAGCTATGAGGGAAATAGAAAAAAAAAACATAATACCAATTCCATGTCAGTGTGACTAGGGGAGAAAGGAGAGAGATGGGAGGAAGTTAGAAGCAGTTGGAAAGAAGGAGGAGGGGAGGAAGGAATAGGGAGGGAATGTGCAGGTGATTAAAAAATTGAAGCTAAGTTCTGTCTTTCTCCTCCCTTCCCTCCCTCCCTCCTCCTTCCCTGCTCCCTCCCTTCTTCTTTTCTTTTCTTTTCCCCTCCTTCCCTCCCTCTCCCTTCCTCTCTCCCTCCCTCCTTCTTTCCTTCCTTCCTTTTTCCTTCCTTCCTTTTTCCTTCTGACAGGGTGTGACTATACTACATAGGCTGGCCTCAAATTCCTGACCTCAGAGATCCTCCCACCTGAACCACCCAAGTAGCTGGGACTACAGGTGGTAAGCCACTGCACTTAGCTAAAATTTTCTTTTCTTTTTTCTTTTTTTCTTTCTTTATTTTTTTTGAGTTGGAGTCTCACTCTGTCGCCCAGACTGGAGTGCAGTGGCCGCTCCCGGCCACCGCAGCCTCGACCTGCTGGGCTCCGGTGATCCTTCCGCCTCAGCCTTCCCAGTAGCCGGAATTACAGGCGTGCACTACCACGCCCGGCTGATTTTTTGATTTATTGTAGAGATGAGGTCTCGCTGCCCAGGCGAGTCTTGAACCTGCAGGCTCAGGCAATCTACTCACCTCAGCCTCCCAAAGGTGCGGGATTACAGGCTGAGCCACCGAGCCAGGCTTCTCTTTTTTTTTTTTTAATTTTTATTTTAAAGATATGGGGTGTAATTCAGGGTTAAGTATACAAAGGTTCGTTATGCAGGTGCCCAGTTGATGAGATGCGCCCCCTCCCCTGGCAGATTCCCACTGCCAATCCCGCCTCCCACCCCGCCTGACAGTTTCCCACTACTGCCAATCCTCTTCTTATAGTAATATGATCATTGTTCAAATTCCGCTTGAGTGAGAACATGTGATAGTCAGTTCTTTGTTTCTGTGATAGATCACTCAATATTATGGACTCTAAGTCCATTTAAGTTTCTGTGAAGTTCATAATTTTGTCCTTCGTATGGCTGCATAATAGTCTATCTTGTATATGTACCACATTTAAAAAATCCAGTTCTCTTTTGATGGGCAGCACGGTTGGTTCCATGTTTTTGCTATTGTGAATGATGCTGCAATAAACATGTGTGTGCAGGTATCTTTTTCATAGAGTGGTTTGAGTTCCTCCAGGTGTATTCCCAGTAGGGGGATTGCGGGGTCATATGGAAGGCTGATTTTTAAATCTTTGGGGAATCTTGGCTAAAATTTTCCAAAGGTGCATTATTTATACTATTTTGACTTTTACAGTATTTAGGTAAGTTTGAGATGTTCCCTAAGAAAATGTTTGCAAATAAATAACAAGCCCTCCAGGTGATTTTGATGCCTACTAAATTTTGAGAACCTTTGGTAATAACGACAAAAAGCTATTTCCCTACTATAGCTCCCACAAATACGTAACTATATCATGAGCCAATAGAAAGACAGACCAAGGATGCTAACAAACTGTTTTATGTGGTGAAAATAGAAATAGCTCTTAAATCAAGATATTCATTTCACTCATCAGTGGAAGAATGGATAAAGAAAATGTGGCATACACACACACACACACACACACACACACACACACAGTGGAATACTATGTAACCATAAGAAAGAATGAAATAATGTCTTTTACAGCAACATGGATAAAACTGCAGGCCATTATCTTAAGTTAAACAACTCAAGAACAGAAAAGGCAAATATTGTATGTTCTTACTTACAAGTGGGAGCTAAACATGGATGTAGAGAGTGGAATAATACATTCTGGAGACTCAGAAGGGTGAGAAGGGTGAGAGATAAAAAATTACCTATTAGATACAATGTTCACTATTTGGGAGATGATTAAACTAAAAGCCCAGACTTCTCCACTATGCAGCAATATGTCCATGTAAGAAAACTGCACCTGTACTCCTTAAATTTATGCAAAGAAGACATAAAAATGTTCCTAGACATCACATTTACTTCTCAGATGGGCAAAAATCCCCAAAGCTTGATAATAACTTTACAGTGAGGGTGTGAGGAATCACACACTTTCATATAATGCGAGTGAGAGTGCTAACAGGTGTAGCTGCTATATGAGGGAGGAACCCCCCCAAAACCCTGGAATTTATCTTTTAAAAATTATGTATTTACTCTTACATGTTTAAACTCCAGTCACTTTCAAAGTACTCTCCATTTAACGTAATACACCTATCGAGATACTTTTTCCATAGTCCAAAACAGTTTTTGAACTTGTCAATTATGATGCCATTTAGAGCTTCTGCTGTTTTTTATTTCACCTCTTTTATGTCAGTAAAATGTTGCCCTTTGAGGACCTTTTCATCTGGGGGAGCACCACTTTGACTAGCATTTCGTTTTTGCATTTTTATTCAGATTGTAAACCGAATATATAATATATGTATATATATTTCTTCATTTACATTGCATCCTTACATCACTATCTGTCTCACTATCACTAAGTTCACTGTTTTCATTGTTGGCCTCAGAAATCTCATCTGCATATATTTCTTCATTTTCCATAGTTATGGTAAATTATTTTTAACGTTGAAGTATGAAAGCCCTGAAATATCAAAATGCAAGGACACAACACTAATCACATGAAAATAATGACCAACTTGCAATTTTTACCAACTACGTAAATCAATAACAACATTGCGCAGACGATATCAGATAATTATCTCAATTAACTTTCTCTCTCCTTGTCTTCTATTCATTTTCAAGCAAAATATAATAACACATACATATGACAATGTTGCAGCATTCAGAAACAGAATTTGGAATGAGTAAATTCACATCAGCAGCAACTAGGAGCCGAATTTGGAATGTTGTATATTCACGTCAGCAATTGCGAATGAGTTAAAACAATTTACAGCTCACACACTCTGACTAATTCAGACGCCCTTGTCCACCAGCCATAACTACAGCTTTGATTGGACAAAAGACCGATTTTAGTAACTTTCTCCTGATATGAGACCACTGACTATGGACTTGTCCTGCCTGGGTTACAGAGTTCGCACACTTGTGTACCTTCATATCCTGGAAAAATATTTTGAAATATAGGGCCAATGAAAGGACATACGAAAAAGTGCTCAGCCTCACTCAACATCAGAGAAATGCAAATCAAAACCACATTGAGATACCCAGTAAGAATGGCCATCATTAATAAAACAAACAATAACAGATACTGGCTAGGGTGCGGAGAAAAAGGAACACTTCTACATTGATGGTGGGAATGCAAACTAGTGCAACCTCTTTGGAAGACAGTGTGACAATTTCAGAATGAACTAGAAATTGACCTTCCATATGATCCAGCAATCCCCCTATTAGGAACATACCCAGAGGAACTCAAATCATTCTACAAAAAAGATACCCGCACACGCATGTTTGTTGCAACTCTATTCACAATAGCAAAAAACATGGAACTAACCATGCTGCCCGTCGAAGCTGGACTGGATAAAAAAAATGTGGTACATATGCACAAAGGAATATTATGCAGGCATAAGGAAGAACAAACATGGACTTTGCAGTAACTTGGATGGATTAAGAGTTTATCATACTCAGTGATCTATCACAGAAACAAAAACCAGAGTACCATATATTCTCACTCAGAAGTGGACCTTGAGCAATCATCACAATACTATAAGAAAAGAATTAGCAGTAGTGGAAAACTGCTGGGGGGTGGGTGGGATTGGCAGTTGAGGGAAGCTGCCAGGGGAGGGAGAGGCACACCTCATTAACAGGGGTACCTGCATAATGAACATTTGTATACCTAACCCTGAATTGTACCCCACATTAAAAAAAAAGAAATATAGAACCTAACTGTAATGGATTTGAATGTTAAGTCTCCACTCCAAAGTAAACATGAGTTGTATGTAAAAAGCATGTTTGCTGAATGTGCATGTGTCAGGATCACCTTCATTAATATTGACAGCTCCTCCTATAGCCTTTTGAATATGTATGTTTCACCAACACATTCAGCATAAAGCTCCTATCCTGGCCCCTCCTCCTGCAAAGTGCCTGTCTCTGGTGATGGCTGGAGGCATGCTTCCCAACCTGTGGGACAGTCACCTTGAGGCTGTAGCCCTTGACAAGAAATAAAGTCTCCTCTCTCTTTCCAAGATTAAAGATATATTGGGGGTGCCAAAAAATATATACACATTTAAAAAGATGCTAAGAGATATTCGCTGTAATCAGACATGCTCAGAGTCTTACAAGTTCTAAATATATATTGTACATATATATGGAGAGGGAGAGGGAGAGAGAGAGAGAGAGAGAGAGAGAGAGAGAGAGAGAGAGAGACCCCAAAATGTATACACACTTTAAGAAAGGAAAAATCTGTTTTAAAATTGTAATACTCAATAAGATGACTACAAGTCACATTTGACTTCGGTAATTACAAGAAGTGCTCAAAGTGGTCACCATCAAGGGTCCAGACGTGTCTGTTGCAGCTTTAAAAAATATGCCATGTTGAAATACTGACCCACAGAAACTGTGAGATAATACATTTTTTAAAGCTGCAACATTTGTGGGAATTTGTTACGTGGCAATAGATGCAGAGTGCAGCCCCTCCCCTCCTCACCTGCACATTGGAGTGAGCCATGAGGACCGCAAAGCTGCTGAGGTGGGTGCACTGGCAGGTGGTGCTGCTGTCTCTGGTGTCCACCATCCAGCAGTCTGTGGTGGCCCAATGACCACACCCATCCTGGCCACGCTCCCAGAAGACGCAGAACACCTCTTGCCTCTCCTCAGGGGTCACTGACTGTAAAAAGAGGGCACAGGTGTGAACTGGTAATTCTGATTCTCAGAGAGGCTGACCCAAAGCTGGCTCAGGAAGGGCTGATTTTGGGGGAGATGATCCCCCCACAGCAGAGTCCCCTGAACCCCAAGGCTGAGCAGGAAGGCCGTGCCTGGGACTCAGGCTCCTTCCCCACCCATGGCCCCATCCCTCCAGCAGTTACATGGTGGAAGAAGGTGAAGATGACTGGGGAGCTGAGATTCTGGGTGTTTTTCTTGCTCAGAAAGGCAGAGATGACATTTGAGAGCAGCGAGCTTTTGTGCAGCGCTGCCTGCTTTTCAGGCTCCAGGAACACGGGGGCCTCAGCCATCAGCTTACCCATCCCTGGAGTGGAGACAAGGCCTACCACAGAAGGGCCTGTGGGGCAAGGTCAAGGTTATCATTTTGGGGTCCCCAAGAGGACTTTCTGCTCCTTAGATGGACTCTCCTCTTGTGGCCCTCCCCCGCCCCACCCCATACTTCCTTTTACTCTTTTAATCTCTTAATTTTCACATCCTTCCTCTCCCCCATTTCAGCTATTACCTGTGTCACCAGATTCCTGTGCCAGATCCCAGTTCAGCTGCATTTTTGTCTGATTCTGATTCAAGGTGACATTCCTGACTCCTTGCTTCTGCACCTCCAGGGACAGTTCTGTAATTTTGGGAAATATATATGAAGAGTTAGATTAGAAGTTGTGCCCGCAGTGGTTAATATATATGATTATATACATAGCTTGAAGTTACAGAACACACACACACACACACACAAACACACACACAAACACACACACACACACACACACACACACACGTATGTATGCATATATAGTCCAAAGTTACAAAGGATTAGAAGAGAATAATATGAGCAATTTTACAACCATAAAGTAGATAACCTAGATGAAATGGACAAATTCCCAGTGACCCACAAACCACCAAGACCAACTCAAGAAGAAACAGAAAATCTTAAGAGCCCCATAACAGACAAACAGATTGAATCAGTAATCAGAACCTCTCAAATGCACAGCTCAGACTGAATGGCTTCACTGGTGAAATCTACCTATTGTTTGAGGAAGAATGAATGTGAATCCTTTGTCAACGTCTCCAAAAAACAGAAGAGGATAAAACATGATTTACATAATTCTACGATGTCAATGTAACTCTGACAACAAAACCAGATAAGGACATCACAATAAAAGAAAACTGTAGACCAATATTTCTTATGAAAATGGCTGCAAAAATATTCCATAAAATATTAGGAATGCATTTAACCAAGGAGGCTCAAGACTTGTAAACAGGAAGCTGCAAAAGTTTTTGAAAGAAATTAGACTCTGTAAAAATGGACATCCTGTGTTCATGGGTTGGAAGACTCCATATTGTTAAGATAGTAATACTATCCAAAGTGATCTATAAGTTTAATGCAATCTTTATCAATATTCGAATAGCCTATTATAATTATTTTGCCAAACAACAAAATTCATCTTAAAATTAATATGTCATTGTAAGGGGCTCAAATACCCAAGAAAGTCTTGAAGACCAATACATTTGAAAGATTTACACCTCCTCATTTCAAAACTTACTACAAATCTGCAATAATCAGAACAGTATGGTACTGGAATATTGGCCAACAGAATAGAACTGAGAGTCCCAGAATAAATCCATCCATCTATGGTCAACTGATTTTTCCACAAGTATTAACAAGGCTATTCAATGAGGGAAAGGATAATCCCTTTAACAAATGGTGCTGGGATTACTGGGTATCTACAAGTAAAAGAAATAACTTGGACCCCTATCTTACACAACACACAAACATTAACTCAAAATAGGTCAAAGCTCTAAATTTAGGAGCTGAAAATAAAACCCATCAGAGAAAATATAGTGGCAGATCTTCCTGGTCTCAGATTTGGCAATGAATTCTTAAACATGACATCAACTGCACAAACAACAACAGGAAAGGCAGATAAAAAGGGTCCCATCAATATTTAAAGCATTTGCTCTTTAAAGTGAAAAGACTATTAAGAGAATGAAAAGACAACTACAGCATGGGCGAAACAATTTGCAAATTGCATATCTCATCATGGACTGCTATGAGAATACATTAAAAAAATGCTTACTACTCAACAACCAAAAGACAAATCCAGTTACAAAATGGACAAAGGACTTGAATAAACATTTCTTCAGAAAAGTTGAAGGAATGGTGAATATGCACATGAAAAGATGTTAAACATCATTTGCCATTAGGGAAGTGCAAATCAAAATCACAATGAAATATTAACTCAGATATACTAAAAAGGCCATAATAAAAACAAAACAAAAGAAACAAGTTTTTGCTAAGGGTATAAAGATTGTAACTCTTGTATGTTTCTCGTGGGAATGGAAAATGGTACATCCAATTGGAAAAACAGTTTGGCAATTTCTTTTTTCTTTTTTTTTGAGTTGGAGTCCCACTCTGTCGCCCAGACTGGAGTGCAATGGCATGCTGCGGGTCACCACAGCCTCGACCTGCTGGGCTCTGGAGATCCTTCCGCTTCAGCCTTCCAAGTAGCAGAAACTACAGGTGCACGCTACCGTGCTTGGCTAATTTTTGATTTATTGTAGAGATGAGGTCTCGCCAAGTTGCCCGGGTGGGTCTCGAACCCGCAGGCTCAGGCAATCCTCTTGCCTCGGCCTCTCAAACTGTTGGGATTACAGGCTGAGCCACCGAGCCTGGCCCAGCAATTTCTCAAAATGTTCAACATGGAGTTACCATATCACCCAGCGAATTGAATTCCATTCCTAAGCATCTACCCCAATGAACTGAGAACAGTTATTCAAGGGAAAACGTGTACACCCATATTCATAGCAGAACTATCACAATAGGCAAAAGATGGAAACAACTCAAATACACATTGACTGATGAACTGATCAACAAAACATAATATATCCATATCATGGAATAATATTCAGTCATAAAACGGAATGAAATACTGATATATGCTACAACATGGATGAACCTAAAGAATATTATGCTAGGTGGAAGAAGCTAGACCAAAAGTTCACTTATTGTATGATTCCATTTATAGGAAATATCCAGATTAGGCAAATCCATAGACACAGAAAGCAGATTAGTGGTTGCCAGGGGCTGGAGCAAGGGAGGAATGAAGACGGATTGCTTAGTAGGTGCAGTGTTTACTTCTGGGGTGATGAAAATACCTTAGAAATAGAGGTGATGGATATACTAAGTTCTTAAAATGGCGATTCTTATGCCACGTGAATTTTAGCACAATAAAACAGATCATACTTATATATCAGCTGATAGTAATTTCGTTCTTCCAAATTAGTTTTTTTGAGGTTGTGTCTATTTTGTTATTTTAAATTCTTCGTCATACTTATTTTATTGCTGATAATTTACATAACGATGAAAATGTATATTATCTCCAAGCTGATGTGTTTCTTTTTAACCTTCTTTAGCTTATTTATGAGAAGAACACTGACATTCACGGGTGGCCACTTGGCCCTAGTGGGATTGAAGAGGAATGAGTCGGTGAAAGGGGGGAGCAGGAGCATGGGGCAGCCCCTGAACTTACCTGTGCCTCCAGAATAATTGAAGGTCAGCAGCCCATTGGGAAGGGTCTTGCTCAGGCCTCTCAGGGAATCCTCCAGATCATACAGCAGGTGAGTGGCCACACAGCGCTGCTGTGAGTGGGGCAGGGTCTCCAGATCTCCGGGGGTCTTCAGCAACTCATCCACATTCTGCATGAGGCTCTAGGGGGATAGGGACACAGAGCCCGTGAGCCATAGGTCAAAGGGATGCACGGAGACTCTGACCACTCAGCCCTAGCGATCAGAACTAGAGACTGTCTCTTTGGGGGATACACATGGCACTGGATGGGATTCCCCCACTGAATGGGATTCCCTGGGTGATCCTTTATCCTGGAGTATAGCCCCACGAAAGTCATCCCTCTCTTGAAGTGTCAATCATCTCATTAACCCAAAGTTTAGGAGCAGCCAGAGGAAAGATGGGAAGTGCACTTGGAGTCTAATATAGTGTACAACTCTCCCCCATCCCTGAAAGATGTGGGGAGTCAGGCCAGCTACCACTGTACTGGGGCCATCTCCTCCTGGATGTAAACTACCTAAGGTCTCTGTGGATTGCTGCCACCTTGTACCTGGGGGTCCTGCCCTTACCTCGATGGTGGTCTGGACCGAGGATGAACTCACGTCTCTGCTTAGATTTTGGAGTTTGTCAAAAAAGCGGGAGAGACTCTTGGGAGAGGAGACAAGAGGGAGTCAGAGAGTTTCTTGGGTGGTTGGAGAGCTCAGAGCAAAGGAAGAGCTCCGAGGCAGTGCTTTACAGAGGGATTTCCTGCCCTCCGGGTCCTGCAGGGCCACTTACCTGACTGTTGATTTCAGTGGGCGGGGTCCAGGTGGGGAAGAGCATCTCTGCAGGGAACAGGACAGGGGCTCAGTAGGGATGTGTGCTGTGGGGGGTTGGAGGGGGAGATCCTAGGGTCACATCAGACCAAGTACCTTCACACACAGTTGTGTTCTTGTTATTCTGGAGCCCAGGTTTGGGCTTCCAGCCTGGGCCACAGCGGCACATGTAGGAGCCCACGGTGTTGACACAGATGGTGGAGTTGTGGCACCGATGCTGCCCGGAGCTGCACTCGTCCACATCTGGGGACACAAAGAGGGGTCAGGCCCTGTCCCAGCCAGATAGGGTCCCCTGTCCTGCCTGTGCCCCACCTCGTGCCTCCCCGTATCCTGCCCCTTGGGTGGTGGACGCCGGGTCAGGAGGCCTGAGTGCGGCGGGCAGCCTCTGTGGAGGCACCCCTAGTAACAGGCTGCTGCCTGGGGTTCCCCCAGCTTCTCCTTCGGTTCCCAGCTCCTTCTCCGGGACGCCCTGCTCTTTTCACATGGCGTCTCAGAAGAATCAGTGCCGGGCACAGCGCCATTCTGCGAGGGGTGTGTGGGTGCCCTTGGACATGGGAGCAGGAGCTTGGGGTCTCTGGAACGCGGGATCTGGCTTTCGACCTTCGCAGACAGTGTCGTTTGGGCCGTTGGGGGAGCCGGGAATCGGCGACCAGCCCGGGCGGCAGCGGCACTGATAGCCGCCCACATTGTTGAGGCAGTGGGTGGAGCTGTGGCACGAGTTGTGTCCGGAGGTGCATTCATTCACGTCTGAGGACAAAGTGGAGGTCAAGCCCTGGCCCTGACCGGCTCAGCCCTTCCCTGCATTCACTGCACCCACTTTCCTATCTGTCCACTGCCCCAGACCGGGCACCACGGCTGTACGAGCTGCCGCTTGGTGACCTTCAACTTCGCTTTCAAAGCAAGTTATGGTGGCCTCCCTGCAAGACGGACACAGTAGGGACCGTGGTCCCCAGTCTATAGGAGGTGTCACCAGGAGGGAAACCGAGTCACAGGGACTGGACTTCTTGGCCAAGGACTCTGACTGCTCCCTCCCCGGCCAGGGCAGAAGATCCCCTCTTAGAAAAAGAAGTGACACCTTCCACTCGCCCATGACAGTTGAGGAAGGGGTGAGGCCTGCAGCTGCACGGGGGAAATTCAGGCCCAGAGAGCCCTGCTGCCTCCCTGTCTTTCAGTGGGAACTTCCAGGGGGAGGAATCCTCCACCGGGGGCCTGGTGGGGCCTTGACCTGGGGGGACCCCGTGTCTCTTCTCCCCCAGCTCCATCCCAGCTCCTGTCCGGCCTCACAGTGTCCTCGCCTCACAGTGTCCTCTACCTGCGCAGAGCCTCGGGTCCTCTGGCCTGAACACAAAGCCGGGCTGGCACAGGCAGGTGTAGCTGCCCGGGGTGTTGACGCAGGTGCCGTGGCTCCTGCAGAGTCTGGGGTTCTGCTGACATTCGTCCACGTCTGCAAGCAGAAGGGCGGCAGAAGGGCGCCTGCAGCCGGGGGTGCCCTTCGGGCTGGGGGTCGGCCACGGAAGCATCCAGAAGGCGCTCCTCCCATTCCCGACTGGCACTGAGGCATCCACTGGCTCAGTGGTGGCCCAGACCCTCTTGTCCAGAGGCCAAGGACTCCTGGCTCCTCTGCCGGCCTGGGTAGCTCCATCTGGGGCGGGGAGCGCCACAGCCCCCCAGGGCCGGCCTGGGGATTCGGGGCAGACACCAGGGTGGGTCTTCCCAGGACCAAGTGGGGGAGACGCTGCTTCTCCAGCAGGCCGGGTCTGGCTTCCCTCGGCCTCCTCCCCAGGGCGGCTGCTCACTGGCCGAGTTTTCCTTGGAAGCCGGTGGCCCTGGCAGGACGGTGCTGTCCCATCCACGCTGAGAACCAGCTCTGGAGATGAGGCTCAATGGCTTGGGGGAGGGGGCGCCAGGTCGGTGGCCGGGGCGGGGGACCTTGGAGGTGGCTTTTTCTTTCTTTTTTTTCTTTTTTCTTTTTCAATTTTTTTTTTTTTTGAGTGGGAGTCTCACTCTGTCACCCAGGCTGAGTGCAGGGGCACACTCATGGCCATCGCAGCCTCGACCTGCTGGGCTCAGCGGATCCTTCCGCCTCAGCCTTTCAAGTAGCTGGAAACACAGGCGCACGACACCGTGCCTGGATAACTTTTGATTTACTGTAGAGTTGAGGTCTCGCCATGTTGCTCAGGCTAGTCTGGAATTCATGGGCTCAGGCAATTCTCTTGCCACCACCTTCCAAAGTGCTGGGATTACAGAAGTGAGCCACCATACCTGGCTTTTTTTTTCCTCCTATTTTAGAGACAGGGTCTCTCACTGTCATCCAGACTGTAGTGCAGTGTAAGCCTCACCACCACGCTTGGCTAATTTTTGGTGTTTTTTTATAGAGATGGGATCTCTATTGCCCAGACTGGTCTCAAACTCCTGGCCTCAAATGATTTTCTTGCCTCAGCCTCCCAAGTAGCTGGGACTATAGGTGGGCACCACTGCACCCAGCTAACTATTTTCATTTTTGTAGGGACAGGCTCTTACTCTGTTGCCCCGGCTGGACTTGAACTCCTGGCCTCGAGCGATACTCTCACCTCTGCCTCCCAAAGGGCTGGGATTACAGGCATGAGCCACAGCACCCACCCCTTTTTCTGATCCCCGGAGAGGCATCCCATCTGTGGCTGTGGCAATAGTGGTGAGAATCTACGAGTGAGCAAAGCCAGCCAAAGGCCCAGTGGCTGGACCAGGAGTAGATACCGATGGGGTGGTGGCAGCTGATTCTGTCATCTCGTTCTTTGCATTCCAACAGGGACATGAGCCTGCAGGCCCCACCAAGTGGGCACAGCTTCCATTTCTGTCCCCCCGTGGTCCAGCCCAGGGCTGGCCTTGGGGGACGCTTGGGCCTGGGGCAGTGGCCCCGGCGATGCTGTCTCTTACTGTCCAGACCAGAACCTTGTCCTTCTAGTGTGTTTGGGGTCGATGTCACCCTGCCCACTCCCTGGCCACGGCATCACCCCAAACCTCTGTCTCTGGAGTTGCTGTCAGGCCCGTGACCGGAAACTCTCAGGGAGAGTCAGGGCGGAGCCTTGCGGGAGGAAGGGGCAGAGGCCGAGCACCCAGGAAGGTCATCAGGGCCCCAGGAGGCGTCTTCTCCAGGCGGGGCTCTTGGCTAGGAATAGCTGTCCGGCCCCTGCCGGTTTCCGGGTAGGGTCTGGGGTCCCTTACAGTGGAGGCAGGGAGAGTTCCAGGCGTGGCTGAGCCACGTGGGCCCCAGTGGGAG